GAGTCACTCCACTCTCTCACCAACCCATCTCTCTCTCTGTCATTCTCTTAAAAAAAGGTCCACTATAAATGACTCTTGAGCTGTGGATGCTTCTTTGTCTGGTTTTATAAAAAAATTATAATAAGAAAAATGGGGTCTTTAGATTTCCGATTTCTGGGATCTGGGTTTTGATTTTTCCTCCATTATTTGTTGTATCAAAGCTTGTTCCTTTCTTCAACTCACTCATAAACCCACACTCCATTTTCGTTTTCCTGAAATGGGTTTTGCTTAAAGTCTTCCACTTTTTGAGATTTGGGTGTTCTTTGAGATCTTTGCCACATTAAGAGATTCAACTACTTTTCTTCTCCTTTATCCTTTTCCGGTTGTGTAAAGGAGAGAAGATGGCTCCAAGGTTGGATTTTTCAGATTGGTGGGCTAAAGATACGAGGAAAGGAACACCAGTTGTTGTGAAAATGGAGAATCCAAATTACTCTGTAGTTGAAATCGATGGTCCAGATTCAGCTTTTAGACCAGTGGAGAAGAGTAGAGGTAAGAACGCAAAGCAAGTGACTTGGGTTTTGCTTCTCAAAGCTCATAGAGCCGTTGGTTGTCTCACTTGGCTCGGCACTGTCTTTTGGTCTCTCCTTGGTACTATCAAGAAAAGGCTTAGCTTCACTCACCCTCTTGGCTCTGAGAAATTGGGTAGAGATAGATGGCTTTTTACTGCCATTAAGCTCTTCTTAGCTCTTTCCTTAGTGATTCTCGGGTTTGAGATTGTTGCTTATTTCAGTGGATGGCATTACTTCGAAAGCCCTAGTATTCACATCCCAATTAGCACACTTGAGATCCAGAGCTTGCTTCATCTTGTTTACGTTGGTTGGTTAAGCATAAGAGCTGATTATATTGCTCCTCCAATCAAAGCTCTCTCCAAGTTTTGTATTGTCCTGTTCCTTATACAGTCTGTAGATCGTTTGGTTCTTTGTTTGGGGTGTTTTTGGATCAAGTATAAGAAGATTAAGCCGAGATTCGATGAAGAACCGTTTCGTAATGATGATGCTGAGGGATCTGGATTTGAGTATCCAATGGTTCTTGTTCAGATTCCAATGTGCAATGAGATAGAGGTATGCTCCCATTGACACAAGTATTAATCTTTGTCCTGTTTTATTTCTCAATGTAGTGATGATCTTTGTCTTGTTCTTGTTCAGGTGTATGAACAATCTATATCTGCTGTGTGTCAACTTGACTGGCCAAAAGATCGAATTCTGGTTCAGGTTCTCGATGATTCGAACGATGAAAGCATCCAACAGTTAATTAAAGCCGAGGTTGCTAAATGGAGCCAAAAGGGAGTGAACATAATCTACAGGCATCGTTTGGTTAGAACTGGATATAAAGCTGGTAACCTCAAATCAGCTATGAGCTGTGATTACGTGGAAGCATACGAGTTTGTCGCAATCTTTGACGCTGATTTCCAACCAAACCCGGACTTCCTTAAACTAACAGTTCCACATTTCAAGGTCGGTATTAACTATTAACATCATGTTCATTTTTCTTATCATTTGACAAGTGGAGAGTTTCTAACCTTGTTGAAAATGTGATAAATCTTCAGGGTAACCCAGAGTTAGGTCTGGTTCAAGCTAGGTGGACATTTGTGAACAAAGACGAGAACTTGTTGACCCGTCTTCAGAACATCAATCTTTGTTTTCACTTTGAGGTTGAACAGCAAGTGAACGGCGTGTTCTTGAACTTCTTTGGTTTCAATGGAACAGCTGGAGTTTGGAGAATCAAAGCCCTTGAGGAATCTGGTGGTTGGCTTGAAAGGACCACTGTCGAGGATATGGACATTGCAGTCCGCGCTCATCTCCATGGATGGAAGTTCATATATCTTAACGATGTCAAGGTACTAATCTTTATCGATCATTCGTAAAGAAGCCTTATTTGTGTAAGTAGCCATTTAATCAAACTGAGAATGAAAACAATCATTAGGTCCTTTGTGAAGTTCCTGAGTCATACGAAGCATATAAGAAGCAGCAACACCGTTGGCATTCAGGACCAATGCAGCTTTTCCGCTTGTGTCTCGGTGCAATCTTGACCTCTAAGGTAGTGTACAACTCTTTTCTTCTGCAAAATTTAAGTTGCTGATCATCATTTTATTGACCGTTTCTCGTCCTTGCTTCTTGCAGATAGCCATATGGAAAAAAGCGAATCTGATACTTCTCTTCTTCCTTCTTAGGAAACTCATACTTCCTTTCTACTCATTCACATTGTTCTGCATTATCCTTCCACTCACCATGTTTGTTCCAGAAGCTGAGCTACCTGTTTGGGTCATCTGCTACATACCAGTTTTCATGTCTTTCCTCAACCTTCTCCCATCTCCAAAATCGTTCCCTTTCATCGTCCCTTACCTCTTGTTCGAAAACACAATGTCGGTCACCAAGTTCAATGCGATGGTATCTGGATTATTCCAATTGGGTAGCTCCTACGAGTGGATTGTCACAAAGAAAGCTGGAAGATCATCAGAGTCGGATCTTTTAGCTATCACCGAGAAAGAGACACCAAACAGAAGCCAACTGCTTAGGGGAGTTTCCGACAGCGAGCTTTTGGAGTTGAGCCAACTCGAAGAACAGAAACAAGCGGTTTCAAAGAAACCCGTCAAGAAAACCAACAAGATATACCACAAAGAGCTCGCGTTAGCCTTTCTTTTGCTCACTGCAGCGGTTAGGAGTCTCTTGGCAGCTCAAGGAGTTCATTTCTACTTCCTGTTATTCCAAGGTGTCACCTTTCTTCTCGTGGGTCTCGACCTCATAGGCGAGCAGATGAGCTAAACTTCATAGATTCCGTAACTCGGGTCAATAAAAGCGGTGAGTTTGATTCCCCCAGTTCCTCTTATGTTCAATGGTATCCTCTGTAATGAGAATGGTTGGAACCATAGTGGTAGGCATTAATTGATTACCCCTC